GGGAGGGGCAGAGAGAGCGGGAAATACAGAATCCCAAGCAGGCTCCAGGCTCCAAGCTGTCGGCACAGAGCCCAACGCACAGGCTCGAACTCACTAACCGCAAGATCACGACCTGAGCCAAAGTCGGACACTTAACTGAGCCACCCGGGCGCCCTTGTGATATTTTTTTAAAAAACTGAGCGATGGGGAAGCAGGTGTTCTCTGTGCCGTTTTTCTCTACACCTTACTTATATTTTATGATCTTGCTTAAAATACTCAATAATTAACAAAAGTTATTTTAAAAGTGAGTTTATGTGATTATCATTGTAGAAGATATAGAGAAATACATGTAAATCAAGCTCTCCCTTCAAAACATTTTTCAATAGCTATGTTGCTCAACAAAAAGTAGGACAGTTAAGAGTATTCAATGTCTACAGTAGCCAACCTATCGTTCATTTGAACACTTCCACAGAATTAACAAATCGATATTATTTTTCACACAGACACATTCAATTTTTTCTCACGTTAAACTGTTTCATTCTGCTTACTTTAAAAAAAAAACTATCTTGCTCTCGGCTTCTGTGTAACTTTCACCATTTGGTAAAAATAAATCATAATTTTTTTCTTGTTCTCTGAAGAAATCTGAAGAAATGAAAATAGGGTCACACCTCTTTGAACAACATACAACAGCACAATTTACATCACCTCACATCACTTACATCACCTCAAATGGTTATAAAATTAAATTAAATATTTTGGTAGCAACAGGCTCTCAGTTTGCCTGTTTTGTTGTTTCCAACTGTTTAGTGCAAAGAGGAATCTCAAAGTCAAATACCAGGAAAAGACACTGGATACCCTATTTTTCTTCACGTGTCCCCAGTTCTACGTTATTTATTCTGTTTTCAGTAAAGTGGTAGATACGTCTTAGACACTTCAGCTTCAATTTGTTCACATACCTGGAGTATTTAATTTTGTAAGGACAGTCGAATTTGAGAATTCCTGTGGTCCTCAAAGGACAGCTATTTTCAGTATTTCAGAATGCCTAAAACATACATTTACCTATAATTTGGTCATGCTAGAAAATGAAAATATGTTTGCTGTTTCCACTAGGATTTAACCAAGCCCTCTTACATTAAGCGGTTATCTCATGCAGAGCAGATATTCAGACATATGCCATTAATAAAAATAGAAGAGTTAATCATGATTACTTAGTATGTGTGGTCTGAAAAATCATTCAAAATATGAGGTCCATGAACAAAAAAAACAAAAATAAAATATGAGGTCCATGGGGCAAAAACAATAAGATAGGTCTTTTATTCCTTATTTGTTTTTTAACCAGTTAGGTTGGTATGTTTAAAACTGCAACAACAAAGTCTGAGGACTACCGTCTCAGAGGAGTTCTATCACTGCTTTTATTTATTTATTTTTTTCAACGTTTATTTATTTTTGGGACAGAGAGAGACAGAGCATGAACGGGCGAGGGGCAGAGAGAGAGGGAGACACAGAATCGGAAACAGGCTCCAGGCTCTGAGCCATCAGCCCAGAGCCCAACGCGGGGCTCGAACTCACGGACCGCGAGATCTTGACCTGGCTGAAGTCGGACGCTTAACCGACTGCGCCACCCAGGCGCCCCAATCACTGCTTTTAAAAACTAAAGAGAAGGATGACTTCCTGTTAGAAATTTGCGAGTCAACTTGAAACTTTTTATTTATTTTCTTTCTTTTTTAATTGATTTGTTTTTATTTTATTTATGTATAGATTTATTTTTATTTTTATTTTTTATTTTTATTTTTTTGCCAGTTCAATTCTCTGCTCCTCCTTCTTTGTAAAACAGTAAACATCATGGAAGTGTTAGAGGGAAAGTGTTTCATAGCACATCTTCCTGCTACAAGCCATGCTAATCGCACCGGGACTGTTTCTCTTCTCCATAGCTTCCAACTTACCTTAAAATCGAAATGAGACCCTCTCCAAACTACTGACCCTCTAACATTAAATACTCCGGGTGTCTGAACAAAGCCAAACAAAAAAGAACGACTTTAAATCGTAACCTTTAAAAACTTACTTAACCAGCTTTCCAAATAATCCCCTTTGGCCATGTAGGACAGCTTAGGGAACAGGTGCAAGGCGTGCCTTCCTAGAGGCTGTCTCCTCCTTTCCGAAGCTGACCTTTTCCAGCCAGCAGCTCTGGCACCCCACGAATCAGTTATCAGTGGGCCTCATGCCTGCTTTCCCATCTGCACTTTCCAAATGGCTCCCAATGCCAAGGGCTGAGATATGACCTGGCTCTCAGATGAGAACATGCCTCCCAAGTGACTTGCCAAGCTTCCCTGGAAGCATTTCTAAATGTATTCTCTGACCTCCCTTCCCACCCTCGCAATCATGGTTCATTCTTCCTTCCTTCCCTGCACTTCCTAATTCCACTTCCTCATCCTGTGCCTCCAATACCATGTGCTTTCAGTCCAAACTCCTTACCCACTCCCAGCCTAAAACCCCAACTTCACATCCAAAGGGCAGTTTCAACAATTTTGCAACTGAAATCAAATGATCTTTTTGAGGCCTACCTGCAGGCAGCTCAGTTATGGCTTCTTCCCTTGCCTTCTCCAGTTTCTCCCTAACCCAGGGAAATTCCTGCAGGGACTCTAGGAATGCATCAAATGCTTTAGGACCTCTGGAAGGTAGGATATCCAGCAGCAGCATTGTTTTCCGGAGGCCTGTGGCTTGAGCTTTGATTTCCTGAACATGGTTTTCCGTCAAGACTCCTTCCTGGTAAAGATATTGAAGAACCAGTCCCTCCACCAGTACCTCGGCACCCAGCTCCAGGCGAAGGGAGCGAAGCACCTGCTTGTCTCTAGCCTCCATCTCTCCCTGGGAAAAGACAGAATAACAGCTCAGATTACAGGACCGCTGACCAACCCCTAAAGACAGTGTCCTGCATGCAAGGCAAACTCCTTAAGGTCAGGTACCTCTTTGAATCTTAGCTGAGTGTCAGACCATGGTGTATAGTCCCTGGCTGTTAAGTCAAGGCAAATTAATCTTGAACGTTCCCGAACATAACGAACAACCCTGAACATGAATCATCTTTTCTGTTTCTACTTTCCTTACGGTGGGGTCCTAGCTCGATTCCTTGCTTGATAAAGAGATTTGAAAGTAGACCCCGTATGTGAAAAAAAAAAAAAAAGCAACTTTGATCGGAGAATTACAGAGCAGCATTACTCATTTAGTGATTGAAACAGGAAGACACATCTTGTTGCTCAGAGATGTTACCCAATACAGACCAAGTTATGCACACGTGCGAAGCCATTCTGACTAGGCGCATTTGCTGACATTGAAACTTTACCATGGAGTGAGCACCAGAGCCCAGTAGGTACCAGTGAGTCTAAGGTTCTTTTCCCCTAAAAAAAAAAAAAAAAAAAAACCCTATACACCATCACCTTCAAGAAAAATATTGTGTATGCCCAGTCTATGATAAACCTTACATATGGTCACAGACTCCACCCCTTCCCTCTAAGAATTCCGACTCCCTATGATTACACTGCCAGGACCACACACGCATGGGACATTTAATGGGGATCTTCTTTTTCTCTACAAGAAAAAAATGCCCACACGCCTGGTCAGTAGCCATGCACGATTTAAAGGCACTGCCCGTGAACTCCAGGGCGCCGGTGCGGAAGCCGTGGATGTAAAGAAGCGGCGGGGATGGGGGAGGGGAGGACGCGGCACATGGGGCTTCCAGGCACCCACAGAAAGTACCACCGGCCGGTGACCCGACCCCACCCCGTCGAGTAGCTCTCGGTGAAGTCTGAGAGGTGGCAGGTGAGGGGGAGGGTGTGCACTTTTGGCTGCCAGAGCCTATTTGGAACTTTTATTCCCTGCCTCGCCAGCTGAAATCCTGTTGTATTACGAACGTGAAGAACTATGAGAGATTCTCGGGGCAACCTGACAAGCTAAAACGAGGGTGCTGGGAATGAACTTCACAGCGAACAGAAGCGGGAGCGGCCCCGGCACCCCCCACCGCCACCCCAACCCGGTCGGGCTCGGAAACGCCGCCAACAAGTTACGTGGGCGGGGGAGCCAAGCAGTGCCCAGGCCGCAGACACCACAGTGCGGGGCCTTCGAGAAAAAAATGGATACGGGTTTCTGGTTTCCTGTTACTTACGTCTGCAAACACGTATATTGAAAGGAAAAAAAAAAAAAAAAAAAAAAAAAAAAAAAAAAAAAAAAAACGCAACCGGAATCCAGACTGTTAGGGAACCTGTACCATAAGCACCATCTTTGTTGCAGGCGAAAGCCCTGAACAGGAAGTGGTATCGCCATCTTTGTTGAGGGCAAACACAGGAAGCGCTGTGAGCATTTTTATTGGGGGACCCAAGCGTCAGATTGAAGCCTTTTTCGCCATGTTTACTGTGGGTAAACAACATAGCCTCTTGAGATGGAAAAATAGTAGCATCATTTAGCGGGTTATCTAAGGAAAGGAGTAATTGGATAATTGCATTTTACTCCTAGAACTCCACCAGGGCCTTGTACACAATTCGCGTACCTTGTCAGAGAAGGCTTCCATGACCATTCTATTTTAAATTGCAACATTGGGGCCCCCGGGTGGTTTAGTGGTTAAGCAGCAGACTGTTGATTTGAGCTCAGATCAAGATCTCAGGGTTGGTAGGATCCAGCCCCTCATCGGTGCCTGCATTAACAGCACAAAGCCTGCTTGGAATTCTCTCTTCCTCTCTCTCTGCCCCTACCGGGCTCACATTCTTTTCTCTCAAAATAAACAAACATTTAAAATTGCAACATTCATCTCCTGCACTCCCCATCTCCACGCCAACTTTGTTTTTATCTGTAGCACGTATTACTATCTTATTAAAACTTTCACTTAATTGTCATCTTTTTCCCTCCTCTAAAAATGTAGGATTGTTTATATCATTTTATATCAGAGTTCCTGCCCACAAAGAGATGACAAGTCAGTCAGTCATGATTCAGTTGTAGCAATCTGCTACTCTAGACAGTAAGGAATTTGCCACAGAAAATTGGGGACATTCACAAGAAAGGCTGGAAAAGTCCTGGCCGTCCAAAAATGACTCCCTCAACAACATTGCCTAACTGACTCATGGCCACAATTTGGAAGGTGTCGTCAGGAAGCCCCACTCCACAGTCCCCACCTCTTCTCAGCACTGACAGAGCAAGTAACTGGACATTGAAACGCTGCAGAAAAACCAAGGTCTCCACAGCCGTAATTGCCAACAGCATCAAAACAGCACCTGCAAATCTTACTCTGATGCATGCAATTGGTAAAACCTACTTTGCATGCAGAACATTAGCAGCAAAGGTGTCTGGGGCATGAAGTTTGGAGTTTTCCAACTTCTGAAACGCAAAGACATTCTAAAAAGACAGCAGCTGATACTGGGGGGTGATCTTCTGAGTTCACCACATTTTTCATTTGGAAGGCAAGACAAATGCATGATCCAAATATAGAAAGATGGCAGAATATCAATATCAGGGTCCTTCCTGAATTCTTTTATGAAATGAGGCAATCAATAAATACATTCATTGATTCACTTTTAAATCAGTTGGGTGATATATGCAGAAAGTCATATGCCTGCTAAAAATTCGTTGATAGTAACAGGAAAAAAACCTCAAATATCACTATTTCTATAAAGGTTTTCTCAACCAACACCTCTAGTGGAAGATGAAAATATCTTTGTAAGCAAGTCAGCGGAAAGCAATTCTAAACCTCCCTCCTCAAAACCTTCTAATTTTTGTAACCAGTTTAAAGTGTTATTATACTAATATACCATTTTATTATACCAGCAGTGACAATTTTTTTACATAGGTGACAAGTATTATTACTAGCATTTTACATATGTGAATACTGTAGAATCAAAATGCCCAAATGTCCTCGCCAAAATTTCACAGCTATATGTAAAAAAACCTGAATTCTAACCAGGTCCTTCCAACTTCATGCCCTTTCAGTACACAGTATGCGTGGTGAAGAGTCTGTTATTCTAATGACAGCCAAAACATTGGCGGATCATTCTGGTGCCACCTCCTACTCTTGATAGTCCTGAGTTCCTAGTACTCTCTTCACTCTCTTCCTCTTTTTTTCCTTTTTTTCCCCTTTCTTGGGCAAGATTTATCTTTTGTATGTGGACAAGTATTAGAAACATCCTCTGCTTTCAGCCAGATAAAGTGCAGACCTCTCGTGATACTAGCAATAGCTGAGGTTACAGACTTTTGGGTGTAGTTTTTCCAACTATAAACTTTGATCGTTTTCAAACATGTACTAAAGTTGAAACACATGGCACAAAGCACACCCACATAAAACTACCTACTTTAAAACACTTCCTAATGACTTGTTCTACTTGGAAAGACTTGAGATCTTCTGGGATCTAGAAGGAGACAGTGATGATGATGTCCAGGGGAGGTGGGGAGCCAATAGTGAGTTCCATGAAGAGTTCACAGAAGAGAAGAAAAGAGAGTAAGAGACAGCATGAGATGAGTTAGTGCAGGAGCTGAGGGGTGTGGAGTCCAAATGGTGAACAATGTAAGAGGTTGGCTATTAAGAATTTGACTTAAATCCCGAAGGTGAAGCCCTTGACCATTAAATTCCTCTTCCTATGGCAAATTTAGATGAGCATTCATGCTGCCCCCTAAGCAACTAGGCTGGCTTTCTGATTACTAGCCAACTGCCATCAGTTAGCCTATTGACGGGTCACCACCCCACATCAGCATACAGTGATACTTCTGAGCAGCACACCAAAGATTCAGTTTCACTCATATAAATATCTAAGACCAGCAGACCCGAAAAAATCAAACAGACCAGAATCTCTATCACAGATGATTCCTCCTCCACTCTGTTTATTCCCTCTCCGTAGGCTGGAAATGTGCCCCCACAGAGGATTAAGCACCTGTTACTCAGTGGTAACAAATCTATTTTCAGGAAGGACAGATATTTTCTTTTTTCTCTTTCTCCTACCATGTTTACTTGTGTCAAACCCATTGTTAGTTTGCAAAACAAAGAGTCAAAAAGAACAAATGTATTATTTTTCTGGCTTTCAATTTGGTCTTTGGTTCTGCAACTTTCAAAACAAAAATCAAAGGAGTTGAACACTTTTGCTTCTTACTGTTTAACGGATGTGGAAATCAAGTCATGGAGAAAAATAGATTCTCTTCAAGCACACTTGAAACAGTCACAAAAATAGATCACGAATTAAGTCACAAAGAAACTTTAATAAATTCCAAAAAAAAATCAATAGCTTACTAACTATGTACTCTACCATTTTACAATAAAATTAGAAATTTTAACAACAAGATAGCTTCCATCGATCCCATAAGCTTAGAAACTAAATAAAATAACTCTTAAACTCTTGATTTTAAAAAAAAAGTCTGTTAGTACATCAAGATGGAAAACAGTATGGAGATTCCTTAAAAAAATCAAAAGTAGAACTATCATATGATCCAGCAATCCTACTTCTGAGTATAGATCCATGTTCATTGCAGCATCATACACGATAACCACATCACGGAATCAACTTAAGTGTCCATTGGCAGATGACTGGATACGGAAAATGTGAGATTATGTGTATGTGTGTGTACGTATAATTCTAAATATGCACATATGTGGCCTTAAAGCAGAAGAAAATCACACCTGTTAGAATGGCCAAAATCCAGAACACTGACGATACCGAATGCTGAAGATGTTGAGCAACAGGAACTCTCATCCATGGCTAGTGGGAATGCCCAATGGTAGAGCTACTTTGGGAGACAGTTTGGCTGTTTTTTACAAAACCAGATATACTCTTATCATATGGTCCAGCAATTGTCCTCCCTGGTGTTTACTCAGAGGAGTTGAAAACATGTTCCCACAAAAACCTGACACAAATGTTTATAGGAACTTTATTCATAATTGCCAGATTTGGAGGCAACCAAGATGTCCTTCAGCAGGTAAATGGCTGATTATACCATCATACTTCTGGACAGTGGAATATGATTCATCCCTAAAAAAAGAAATGAGCTATCAAGTACGAAAAGACATGGGGGAACCTTAAATGCATATCACTAAGTGAAAGAAGCCAATCAGAAATGGCTACCTACTGTACGTCCCAACTCTATGACATTCTAGGAAAGACAACACTATGGAGACAGTAAAAAGATCAGTGGTTGCCAGGAGATTGAGAGGGGAATATGAATAGGGCAATCACAGAGGATTTTTAGGGCAGCAAAAATACTCTATGCAATGCCATAATGATGGATCCATGTCATTATACATTTGTCCAAACCCATAGAATGTACAACACCAAGAGTGGGGGCACCTGGGTGGCTCGGTCAGTTAAGCATCTGACTTCAGCCTAGGTCATTATCTCATAGTTTGTGGGTTCAAGTCCCACATTGGGCTCTGTGCTGACTGCTCAGAGCCTGGAGCCTGCTTTGGATTCTGTATCTCCTTCTCTCTCTGTCTCTCTCTCTGTGTCTCTGTCTCTCTCTCAAAAAAAACATTAAAAAAAAAAATAAACAGTGAGCCCAAAGGTAAATTATAAACTTTGGGTGATGATGATGTGTCAACGTAGGGTCATCACTTGTTACAAATATACCAGTCTGCAAGAAGATGTTGATAATGGTGAAGTCTCTATATGCATGGGGTACAGGGTATATGGCAAATCTCTATACCTTTCCCTCAGTTCTGCTGTGAATCTTAAACTGATCTAAAAAATATCCTTAACAGAAAGAAAGAGAGAGAGAAGGAAATCTTGTCGTATACTACAACATGATGAACATGGAGGATATTATGCTAAGTGAAATAAGCCAGACATAGACAAATGCTGCATGATCTCACTTACATGCAAAATCTGAAAAAGTCAAACTCATACATACAGAGAGTATGATGGTGGTTGCCAGGGGTTGGGAGAGGGGAAAATGAGGAGATGTTGGTCAAATGCTACAAAGTTTGAATAATGAAGGATGAGTAAGTTCTGGGGATCTAACGTAGAGTATGGTAGCTATCATTAGTACTACATTGCATACTTGAAATTTGCTTTCAGAGTAGATCTTAAATGTTTTCACCATACATTAAAAAAAAAATAACTATGTGACATGATGGATGTATCGATAAGCTTGATTGTGGTAAACAACTACAACGTATACATATATCAAACTATCACATGTGCTCCATAAATGTAAACAATTT